ATATAATATATATATATGTTTCCCCCTTCTCTCTTCTCTCTCTCTCTTCTCTCTCTCTCTCTCTCTCTCTCTCTCTCTCTCTCTCTCTCTCTCTCTCTCTCTCTCTCTCTCCTCTTCTCTCTCTCTCTCTCCTCTCTCTCTCTCTCTCTCTCTCTCTCTCTCTCTTCTCTCTCTCTCTCTCCTCTCTTCTCTCTCTCTCTCTCTCTCTCTCTCTCTTTCTCTCTCTCTCTCTCTCTCTCTCTTCTCTCTCTCTTCTCTCTCAATATTATTGTTTATATTATTGATCATCATAATCCTTATGATTATTATGAAATTATAAAAAAATTCCATATCATTAGAAAAAAAGTAGTAAATACATAAAGTAGGGCTAGTAATTGACTCTGTGGTGACTAAACAGTAGTGAATTTGTCTGTTTAAACAAAACTAATGAACTAAAATCACAGTGGACATGGCATGTATGTGGATGACATTGCATATAGCTGTGTTTCTATTTTTTAAGGTTTATCAGACAGAGATGCTTTTTTCATAATAATTCAGATAATTATTCATTTATTTCCTTTTATTAGATAATGATGAAACTATATATTTCTATGAAAAAGGTAGATCTAATCCATTTTATTGCCTACAGTCTTGTGTGTGGGCTGACTGGTAGTTTTAAGTGTTGACATAGCAAGGGTAATTGCCAAGTGACAGAAAAGAGTTAAGATTTGTAAATATCAGAATAACGAAGTGGTAGATAAAAAAGTTCGAACCTGTTGGAACTAGGTGTCTTGTATCCTGCACATGGACCAAAATCAGGGTATTAGTCTTACTTGAATAGCAACTCTCCTAGGTGTGTGCCTTGTACTGGCTCACATAAACACTCATGTAAGGTAGTAAGACTCATTACCTCTCTTTTGTAATGTTACTAGACAGTCTCTTTTTCTGCATAAACATTTTTTGTCTATTTGACATTTTCCAAGGTCTATATTTGTCATTTGTTATGTTACACCATATTATCACATACGTAGTCTACATTTATCTAGTGCTGGCACTCCTCCAGGCATGGCTCATGATCGGTACATTCTACCCTTGTTCATTGTTGGATATAATACCTAAGTGCCCACTAAGTCTGATCTTCCTCCAAGATCTTTATGCTTTCTTGGCCAGTCATTCCCATTACCCTTACCCTCAGCTGAGTTTTTAATGGCAGCACATTCCTGCCACCCGTCCCTAAGCCAAATATAATATACTTTTAATCATAATTCTCATATCATCTTTTTAGATTCAGCATCTGAACTGCCCCTGGTTCAAAGACTCTCCCCACATAGTCTTTGATTTCCATCAGGAATGTAAAGGTGGCAATATTGATAATCTAGCAAAGAAGCTTCAGCCAAGAATACAAGAAGAAATCAATGATTTTGGATACTTCTGTTCCAGAAATAATCAAATCCAGTCTGTGAGTAATTTTTATTGACAATTTAGTCATCTTTGACTGAACTTGTATTGATTATGATACTTTGATTGTGTATATACTAGTATTTTCTGGAATAGGATGTTAGCTCAATTTAGAGTTATGTTCATGGCAAGCACATTGCCTTTTTCTGATGTTCTGAACAGTTGATATCATACTGATATTTTCACAGTTCTTTATTCTTGTTTTAAGATAATCTTTGACCGAACAGAAAATGTGAAATATATTTTGTATGGTTTTAGCTCTATTCATTTTATTTTGTGTGATTGTTAACTTTTTCTCTCAATGTGTATTTACCCTTACCTCTTATTTTGCAGCTCCAGAGAGGTACAATGCGAACCAACTGTTTAGACTGTCTTGACCGTACTAATCGCGTTCAGACATTCCTTGGACTAGACACCCTTTTCAAGATGTTGGAAGATATTGGAGTTTCGAATAATGGGGTCATTGTGCAACGGTTTACAACAAAACTAGAGGAAATGTGGAAGGAAAATGGCAATCGCATCAGCCAAATTTATGCTGGGACCGGGGCTCTTCAGGGATCAAAGGTGAGATTTTGATGTGAAGTTATTTGAGTGATTTGCTCACAACATTTCTATGTGGATTAGGATTCAATTTGTAATTTAATATATGTGAAGTTTCCTTTATGGAATATTGAATGGACGTAAAGGACCCCAATCCACCTGTCATCTCTAGGTGCTAAAACAGTTGTTTAATTACCTTTATATTTTTGTTCTTGGTAGCTGTACAAACTGAAACATGTGAGAGTATAATCTTTAATCTATTTGAAACTAAAGAAAATACTCCTCTATTTGGAAAGTATGTAGATAGACCTGGATTATATTCAGGCAGAATGCAATTCAGAAAATTGTTGAAAAATATTTTTGTAAGAGACAGTTTTCTATTTTATTTAACCCATTTATGAGAATGTTTGTTTAAAAAATGCATTCATTTGTAGTATATATTTTTAATCTGTGTCTGTACTCTAGTGTTATAACATCCTCTTGATAAAGAAACTAAATTGAAATGTGATGAAAGGGATATCTCTTTAAATGCCATCAAAATTTCTAGTTGCCATAGACAAGGGTCACTGCATACTAGGTTCATATTATTTAATCACAGTGACTTTTTTGGTTAGGAGCTTCTTGTAACACTGTATTGTTTACTACCATACGATTTTAGTCACATTTTTAGATTTTGATCATATTTTTAAGTTAGTGTAGCTCTTGTAAAAAAAAACACTATATGTTAATGGCTGCTATTGCATAGCTTAGATAACAGTTATCCTTATTGCATATATGAAACTTTTGGACATACATTAGGTCTAGGCTCTATTGGGGGTAACTTTTGACCTGGATTTAGAATTCTTCTTAACAGAATATGGCTTAGAGTTTTGTACATACAGGAATGCATATAGAATAAGAGTTGAGAAATAACACAAGCTTTCTTAAGTGCTGATAATAGTAGTATTGGGGAAAACACTTCAGAAGACCATTCAGTAGAGTTTAGGTTGTACTTGTTAATAAACTTCAGTATTTCAAATATTTATTCATTTATGTGCCTAAATAGTGAATTGGGGTCCTTCTGTATTGGAAAGTTTGTTGTGAATATGTAATACTCGTCATGCTTCTAGATCATTGATGGTGCAAGATCAGCTGCGCGGACTATTCAGAATAACCTTCTGGACAGCAGTAAGCAAGAGGCTATAGATATTCTGCTCCATGGTAACCTGCTAAATAATTACCTGGCAGCCCTTGCTCGATCTCTTCTACCTTCAAGTTACTTGTATGGTAAGCTGGAAATGTGAAATAATCAGATACTGTTTTTGGAATATTTAGAAATTGATAAAAGAAACAATATAATGTATTTGAGTTTTTCTTTGATGTTGATATGAATATTGTAGACAGTTTTACTTGTGTAATTGATTTTTTTAATTTTTGGATGTTAGAAGATTACGAGAGTTACACAGCTTTATGAATTAGCACTTATAGTTATTCTGCACTTGTCTGTTGGGGATGTTCTCATCTACCTCCCAAACAGTATAACATCACTTCATATCTCACCTGAAATCATAAGCTGTGCACTTCGTTATCTCCCATCCTTTTTTGCCAAAGTAGGGATCACAAAGTCTTGGATAAACCCTTTTTTTTTTGTAGGGTTTGTAGAGAGAGAGTCTTCTATGTCTGTTCTTTATTGTTGCTAATCCAAGAGGGATTACATACATCGCCGCTAGGGTATACATTTGACCGGTCATAGAAAAAAGATTGCACATCATTACAAGGGTATCACAAACATAATAAATGTTAGTCAGTTTCTACATAGGAACTTTATAGCGTTGATAACATATATCATTTAGTGTATGTTAATACATATCATTGTTCTTTCACAATGAAAGAACAATGATAGAAAGCAAGAATGTCCTTTATACAATACTCTAGTTCCTTTATTGGATTTTCCAGCCCCTATAAGTGTTCTACGTCAGATATGTCGACGTAGTCCAGAATACACAGCACCCATTCCTCTGCGTGTTGCTGTAGGAACATACAATGTTAATGGTGGAAAGCACTTCCGTAGTCTTGCCTATAAGCATCTCTCCTTGGATGACTGGCTTCTTGATTCAAGGAAAAATGCTGTTCAGAGTTGTAAGTAAAGATGTAAAAGGCTAATGTATTTTTGTGAAAGGATTCTAGGCAATTGTATTGAATAACTAATCAGGACAATGAGAAGTAAACCCTTCCATTGCATCTGGTTACATATATTATATAAGGATTTGAGTAGCTACCTAAAGATAAGTTGTGTTTTGCAGATACTGATATTTTTAGTAAAGAAGATGCACTCTAAAGCTATTACTAAATTGCTTAATTATTTTTCTTGAACTTCATCAAAACAGCTCTGGTTGACACAACACCAGAGGAAGAAGATACGGTTGACAGAGCTCCTGATGTTTTTGCTATTGGCTTTGAAGAAATTGTTGATCTGAATGCTACCAATATTGTACAGAATACACAGTGGTCAGAAAATGCTGCTTCCTGGGGGAAGGAACTGCAAAAGGTAAACAGAACTATAGTTTTGTTGAATAATATGGTGTGCAGCTTAGGTATCCATAGGTACTGTATAGTGTAATTATAAAACAAGATGTAAATGTACAGAGAATCAGGAGCCATTGCTCAATACTGATGTTCTGTATGTCCTTATCGGTAGCCAAGTGATGAAATTCATGAAAAAAAAAACATTTTTCTGTTGAAAATAAACCAAGCAGAAAATTGATTATTACCCATGTAATAAAATGGTCTAGAAATAATTGCCTTAAGGGGGCCATTGTGCTTGAGAACAAAGTTTATCAGTTATGACCGGATTTTTGTGATTTTTTAATATGTTATACATACATATAAACTGATAAATGCCACTAAGTTTCATATTATTTGGATGATGAATTATAAAGTTATTTAAGAAAAACTAGTTTTTGAACAATCACAAAATCTTTAAAATTGCACTTATCAATTGAACAAACTTGTTGAAAAAAATACCACCTATACTCTATAGCAATACCTAAAACTCACAAATACCAGAAATTTTAATTTCCTTTTAGTTTAGTGGGAATTTATTTTTTCTAAATGTTCAGTCTTATGAACATAAAGATATAATATATGGACTTCTATTACCTAAAATGAAAATCATCTTTAACAAAAATATCACAAATTTATTCAGCTTTCAAATGATTCAAACCCCTTTAAAATCACCCAAGTAGTTATGGAGCCTATAAAAAATGCTGATAAAAGTGTAGTTTTGAGATATCAGGCTTCAATTTTTTTTTTCTTTCTTTTTTTAGAATTCTTATCTCTAAGTCAATCTTGCTAAATTCTATGGCATTCTATGTTAAGGCCATGTAAATTGCCAATTTTTTCATTTCCTTTTCATTGGGGGGGGGGGGGACTAGTTGACCACTCTGGTCATTTTTTAAGTATTATGTAGTCTATATATATATTTTTTTTCCAAAATTAAAAAATTGACTAATTACATATCCTTAGTTTTCCGATGATCTAGTGAAAGCAACAAACTACGTTTGAATTGCACAAAAAATTATGAATGCTGGGATACACCGAAGCATGTGTAAGAAAAATTTGGAGAAAAACCATTATCCGATGATGTTATATACAAAAAAAAAAGCTTATTTAGTGTACTTTGTGATGCGATGATTACCAAGTCAGTCAGAATTATCATTTTCAATAGGGACGATATTTTGTAAAGGTATGTCTCCTTGTTTTGTTTTTATTTTTATTTTTTTGGATATAAAAGGTATATCTGTCTGTCTTTTTAAAAATTCAATTATGTAGAAATGGAGAACTGTGGATGGCCATATTAGTACAAAATCATTCTGGTTATAAAGTCGTAGCATGAATACAACATGGTGGTTCAATTTTGAGAGTTTTAACCCATTTGTCCCGGGCGTCACATATATGAGACACCGGAAAAAATAAACATTGCCGGGCTGCCCGCCAGTGTGATGCTGTCTCGGGGCTGCGCTCCGAGGCATAAGCGGCGCGCGGCCGGGCGAGCAGACAAACTCCGGGGAAGCTCCGCCCGCCGATTTTGTAGCCGCCCGGATTTTTTAATTTTGGCTACAAAATGTACCTGGCGTGACTGGGTTAAGAGCATATGTGTGAAGTACATGAAATTCAAGACTTACCAAAGAAGTTGAATTTTTTCCATACTCCACACAGGGGATGGGCAAGGGGGAGGTGAGGGAGATGATCATTGGGTGGATATAATTTTCAAGGAGGATCATATGTATGTAAACACACGCACATAAGATAAACCATTTTAATCATCCTTATTTAGTAGGCCTACATTGACTTACATAAAGGATTCTATACCGGTTTTCTTTAACAATTTTCAAAAGTAACTGTTTTCAACCTATTTTCAGCAAATAACCTTTCTGTTACAGTCTTTTATCGCCATTTTTCGCCATCTTGCTGAAATCAAGTTTAATGTATTTTCAAGGAGTTTCAGGACCTCTCATTCTCTCCTGAAAATTTCATGGCCCGACTCTTATTTTTTAGGTGATAGCAGCCATTTCCGATGTCAACCAAAATATTATTTTTTTCACTTTGCCTTAGAAAATCGGCAATTGTGACACAATGACTAGAGATAATTAAAAAATATATTATTTGAAAGTTTATGGAATTTCATGTAAGATGAGACCAACCTTCATTTTTTCGGAATAATTTTAAAAATCTGGTAAGTGTCCAAATAATGATAATGAAATTTTTTTTCCTACAATTGATTAAACATGATATGCTGTTCATATGGAGTATTTTCTTTTCTGTATATTTTCATCATACATAGTTAGATCTATGAGCAAAATATTTCGAAAATGCAAACCTTCCCCCCAAAAAAATTTTTTTATAGAATATTAGTTGGGTAAAGACAAACCTCAGGTATAATTTTATTAGAATATGTTCATAACTTTTCGTTAGAAAAAAAAAATTCTGGATCCAAACCATGGTTCGCATCACCACCAAAGTGCAATAAACGTCTAAGTTAGCTTACACACCTTTGGTTAAAATCTCATTTGAATGTGTTCATAACTTTTAGAAATATCAGAAAACACAAACAAACAAACAAACGGAAGTAGCAATATAAATAAACAAAAGGTCATGGGTTACACGAAAATTTTCTATATGTGCTTATATACCTTATATACGTACTTTTCCATTGCCCTGTAACAGTATTTCGGCTTTTCGGGAGTCTGAGTGTGAAAATTGGCCAAATGGCCCTGTAGAGTTAAACACCAATATTCCGCTGATGGAAAGAGACATACATCATAATACTGTGACGCCTGGCCGGGCTGAGAAAAGGATGTGTACAATACCCACCCAACTAGAGAACGGTTATTTTTTTGACCAATATTATACATTGTAAAACCCCATTAGAGCACCAATAATAGGTATATAATAGATAATTATATCATATACAAGTAATTTGTACATGATTTGTCATGTAAAATGTATAAATAATGAAAAGGAAAAAGATTGTGATTATTAGGTCCTTCACATTTTTATGCATAGCACATCTATTTTCTGTCCAATTTTAATGTATTATGGCTCATTTTGTAGCTGAATAATAGATCTATTGCATGATGTAGTAAGGATTTGCAATATTTTTATGTGCTTCTTATAAAAGTGACATATATATTCAGTATCCCTTTTTAGGGTGATTGAGATAGTGGCTTCGGAAAATATTCACCTAAAAAAAAGTAAGGTTGACTTCTAAAAAAATGGCTTCTGCATATTATAGTAGAAGGATAGTACTATTCAGATATGAAATCAGAATGGCTGTATGATTTTTTTATTTTTTTTTTTTGGATTTTTGAGAAATTTTTAAAAATTGTCAATGTAGGCCTGTAGACCTCCCAGATCACTGCCACCACTTTATACTATATGTAAGATTTTGAGAAACTGTTACATGCTGGCAATGTCCGGAAGACTTTGGAAAGCAGGTAGATGATAGAGGAATATGGTATAGAGAGACTTTTCTTATACCTTATATTGTTGATACCAAGATAGACATGGAAAGATGAAGAAAGCAAAAAATGCTGATATCTCAATGCACCACCTTTGTAGGCGCAAAAGCTGTATCAGACGCAATTTTAGTCCAAAATAATAGTTTTATGACTCCTTTTGTAGCTGAATGATAAATCTAGTGCTTGTTCAAGAGGGATTTTGCAATTTTTGCCTGTGCTTCTTGTAAAAACGACAAATGTGTAGAAAAAAAGTCCTGAAAGTCGGTCACTCTAGAAATTCACCAAAAATATATATATATTGAATTGAAAAAACTGCTTCGAACAAGCACTAAATGTAGGATGAGTCTGTTAAAAAATCACAAATCAAACAGCTTTGTAATTTTTTTTTTTTTTTTTTTTTTTTTTCCATTCAAAAACTGTTGGGCCGATTTTTTTTTTTAATCGACCACAGGGGTCAGGGAAGGGTCTGAATAAAAGGGTGTGAGTTTCATCAAAATCAGCAAGAAAAATCTAAAAGTTGAAAAAAAACAGTCTCCCCTTAAAACAGTAAAACCTAAAGAGCAACATTAATAGTAGCTCAGACATAGCTATTAGTTACTGAGAATTTAGGATTTTTAACAGCATTTATAAAGGATCTACTGGGTTACAAATGTAATTAATGCAGAGTGCGATAAAATTATTTGCCCTTACAGACTGCATTCTTAAACATATTTTATTTACTCATACTTTTATTTTTTTATCCCACTCTTTTAGGTTATATCAAGAGATGAGAAATTTGTGATGGTAACTTGGTCCCAGTTAGTTGGTGTAGCATTGTTTGTCTTTGTGAATGAAAAGCATGCAAACCATGTGCGAGGAGTATCTGTGGAAAGTGTGAAGACGGGCATGCAGGGTGCAACAGGTAGGTAATGCTTTTTGTTTGTTTTATTTGTCTATATGAGAAAAGATTACATGACTATTTTATTATTTCATAGATGATACATCAGTTATCACTCAAATTTTGATTGTAAAAGGCCCCAACATAAAAGATGATTTCATCAACAGGCAACAAGGGAGGCGTGGGCATACGTCTGGTTGTCAGAAACACTTCAATGGCATTTGTCTGCTCGCATTTTGCTGCTGGTCAGAAGGAAGTCCAAGAGCGGAATAATGATTATGACAGCATTGCACGAAAACTCATATTCCCTCTTGTAAGTAAAAAAGATACACTTACACATATTAATAAGGCAGAGAAGAAACTTATTTGATTAAGCAGAGTCACAGAATTACTCCTGTGCTAGCAAGTATTAGGACCTAGTATGGTACATTTGATAATCACTCATTTACTGTGAGTGCATCTGTACATGTACAGTCCACAGTAGTGTTTTCTAGATTTTTTCATAACGTGATGGCCACATTTTCCAGATCATAGAGCTTAAATATGATAATGATAATAGTAATAATACAAATTCAAAGAATGTGGTTACAGGTAGGATCAGGTGGGCTTGATAATTGGCTCTTTATGACAAACCCTTGCAGAGCCATCTGTGTGTAACCAGCTATTGTGAACAGTATCACTGTATACTGTGCATTTTAAATATCTCAAGAATTTTTCTGGCAAGTAAACTCTTAATATGTCATTAGAAACTTGTGTTAAATATACAGTAAAATATACAGTAAAAATTGGTTCTCTAATAGATTCTCTATTATATGTTTTTACATGTCAATTGTAAGTTGTTTTTTAAGTAAAAGATGGTAGAAGTATTTTAATTACAGGTATTCTTAAAGGCAGACAAACTTTCAGGAGAGCCAGTTACTTTTGATTAAGCTTAGAGTGATATAAAGTCAGACTTCCAACTCTGTCCTTCTGTCAGTTTCACTTCTGTCATTACCATTCTCATCACACATAGCTTTAAATTCAGTGAGAGTTGTATTTACTCACACCCATCATATTTCTTCAAGTGAGAGTGGGAGTGGACCCTTGCAGTATAGTTTGATAACATGTGAGGGACATGCAGTGTTGCCATAGCTACCATTTGCTTCTCATGATAGGAATAAGAATGCATGAACTGATATTTCCTTAACAGAATTTCAGAATGTTTGTTGCCATTTTGGATTTAATAGTGATGGTTATTATGGTCATTTATCATAACCTTGATCATTATTTTCTCCAGTGTTATTTTCATCTCCTTTGCCTTCAAGATTTGTGTGATAATAGTTATTCTTAATTTTTAAATGGATATTTTTAATATTGTTATCAACCTGTTGAATCAGGATGCACTGCCCCAAAATCCAGGTTTAATTGTACTTGAATAGCAACTCTCTTGCAAGTGTGGTTTGATGGAACAATTTGCATACATACTTGTATTCCATGTCAAGAGAGAGTCTTTGCCTCCCACTTTTTTTTTTTTTTCTTTCTTTTTTGACATTTTCCAAGGTGTAAATTTGTCATTTGATAGACTGTATCAAGATGGTAATTGACTGCTTTTCTTGTACAAATTCCATATTGTCTGTCTAGGTAGTCCATATTTGAGTGCAATAATGATAACAATAAGTATTATTTTGTTATTGCCCCCTTTAAGAAAAAATCTTAATATTCAATTTTCTGTAACACATCTTTTGTTGCCAGTCACAGAAGGCTGGGTTAGAATTTAGAACGGAATTATTGTCCTCCCTGTAGCTGTGGCACCTCCAGACTTGGCTCATGGATGATTCATTCCACCCTTATTTACCAGTGGAAATAATGCAAGAGCCTTTTCCTAAATGCCCACAAAGTTGAATCTTCCTCTAAGATCTTTATGCACTCACAAATCATTCTCATCACCCCGTCCTACAGCCAAAGTTTTCTTGACATAAACTTTGACCCCCCAAATGTTACCCATCCCTTGACCTTGGATCAGATTTTTTCACAACTTTATGTTCATGCCTTTAGTGAAAGATTTCTCATAAATTATGTTGTATTCTTCCAGGGCATGCCACTGTGGGCCCATGATTATGTCTTCTGGTGTGGGGATTTCAATTATCGCATTAATCTTTCTCGTGATGAAGTACTTGAACTCGTTCAGAGGCGAGAATGGAGTGTCCTGCTTCAACATGATCAACTTAAGGTCAGTATTTCATTCATTTGTACCTTAACTCTAGAATAGTAGATCTGGGTGTAAGAGTCCTGGCATTTTGATGCCACTTGTTGGTTTAGCAACTTTAAGGTGCCAGGGAACCCTTACTTCACAGTAGCTTTGTAGATTTGGGTGCCAATGGTAAGTATGGGTGTGATGGTTTTCAAATATCTGTTTGTTGGTATAACATAGTAGAATTGTGGTTAAGTTTGTGAAACCCAAATCTACAGGATTTGGCAAGGTCTTTTTTCCCTGATTTCAACTTCTCAAGACAATTTGCATCTGGACTAAATACTAAGAGATGAATGGGAAAACACTCTACCGTGATGAGATTATGGTAGAAAAACCCACAATGCACAGACTTGATTTATTAACCCACTAACACGGGTATATTTTGAAGCCAAAAATAAAAGTTTCCAGGCGGCTGCAAAATCGGCGCGTGTTGCTGGCCCGGTCTCTGCCTGAGTGCCGGCCGGTCTATGTGAAGGGTGGCCGGCATATGGAAGGAGGCAGAGAATGTGGGAAGCAAGGGGGGCTGTCGGCAGGAAAAAAAACGCTGTTCAGATTGAAATTGGGCAGCAGTGTGATCAAGGAAGAATCCACCAGTCTGGGGGCTTGGACATCAGGAAGGGAAAACAATGTACACTGCTTTCCAATCCATCTGATGGCCTGTTTCCCACTGAAGGCAGAAGAGGGCGTTGTTGTTATGTCCCCTGGATACAGCATATTTGAGGAGAGAGGCGAACCCATGGCATCACCAAACATATGTGAGTAGAAATGACCCTCAAAGGAAAAGGAATTTGATTCCACACGCAGACGAATCAACTGGATCCCAGCAGGGAGCTTCCTCTGAAGGATAGCGAGGACATCATCAAGTGGGACCTTGATGAACAAGTAGTCAACATCCAAGCTCATCATGGTCACTGGCGCAACACCATGGACATGGGCGATGAAGTCCTGAGAATGGCAAAGGTGAGCTGAAGCCAGCTAAGCCACAAGAGTGTTGCTGCATCACAGATCCCGGGATGAGATGATGGGGCACAGAGGCACGGCTGGCATATGGGTTTTAGGAAGCCCATATAAATGAGGGAGGTAAGGGTTGATGACCTTGAACGTCTGGTAAAGGTTCACCTCCGGGAAACAGGTTGCCAGCTCTTTCGGGTGACGATGGAAGGTAGCAGCAATGCGTTCCTGGGGTCGCTGGTCAGGGGGGCATAGGTGGAGGCGTCATCCAACAGGACCTGGGCTTCTGCAAGGAGGAAGCATGGTCGAGGACCACCACCGAGTCAGAACAAACCCGCGAGCAATAGTTTGTGAATTGTGGGTTTTTCTACCATAATAAAAAGTGTTCAATTTGTCCAGGAGAAGACAGAAAGATGAGGTATCAGTAATCAGTAAACCAGTGTATGTTGATTATTGGCATGGACTGTGACTAAACCATGGTCAGCAAAGCATTTTTTAGTGTGCTGTACATTATCAGGGTTATGATGTTTGACAAAGAGTGTCTTTGGCACTGGAGATTTTATTGGATATTCAACAACTACAAAAGCCTTGTTTATATCCTGGCAGCATATTTTGAAATGACAGCATGCAAGCCATTATATACCACAATATTTCAACTAGCAATTCTTGTCCTTTGCACATCTGGCTACACCATTGATACTATTGACTCAAAGACTTTATCATGCTAACTCTGAAAGCAATGTGAACATATTATGTCTTGTTTTTATGTGGGTTTCATTTTAAGAGAAGCTTTAATTTCTGGTTTTGATTTATTAAAATCAATAGAATAGGTTGATATTCAGTTCTATTTATAATCTTATAGTGAACAGAGCCAAAAAGGTTTTTTTTATGTTCAAAGATCATTAAATGAACCAAAAGAAATTTTCATTTTTCTTTGGTTTTGTGAGATTAAGGTGTACCAGTGGTGTTTGTCACAACAAAGTGATGTGCTATTCTAGGGTTAACCCATCGCCGACGGGTAAAAATTTTGGCAAGAGGACGTATGCACAGGCTTGTTGGCACACATCGGCAGTTTCCCGTTTGCGCCCGGCTCGATCGGTAGTTTGCGAGCAATATTTAGCACCCTAAAAGCATTTATTTTGGTAAAGTTTATAAAAACATTAAAATTTTGAAGGTTTACCTTCACTATAGGTGCCATTGCCTAAAATCTTTACCATATAAATGAAGCCACTACTATCGGAGAAAACAACCTCCGTCCGACGAGCCAGTAGTTTGGTCCACAACAGCCATGGCATGTACGTACGTGCCACCCTGCGGCAACGGGTTAAGAAACCCTATACACTTTACATCTGTTTACAAATTTTTTGTGTTGAAGTGTAGTTGGATTTCTGCTTTACTTCACAGTGTAAAGGTGATTATATAGAAATTGTTAGAAATGGTATTGTAATTATATATATATAGAAAATTTAAACTTTGAAGCTTTATATAATTGAAATTATTAATCTTAGTTGAAGGAGTCAATACAGACATGATAGTGTTATAAAATTATTCCACTACAGCAAAGTTATGCCGAAGAGAAGTGCTTCAAAGGTTTCATAGAAGGTGACATCGCTTTTGCTCCAACATACAAGTATGACCTGTTCTCTGATGATTATGATACCAGTGAAAAGTCCCGCATTCCAGCATGGACAGACAGGGTGCTCTTTTGGAGGAGGATGTACCCACGTGACAAGGAGAATCCCAAGTGGACACCAGGTATATTTATGTTATGTTCCTCTTCCTCTCTTTATTACTCTAGGCTGTCTGTGCTTCTTGTCCATAGAATAACATCTGATTTTTGAGATCGTTAATTGAATTAATATGAATTTTCCTTAATTTTCTTCATCTCATTCATGGAAAATTTATTGATAGTGCCAAATTTTTTCTTGTATATATGTGTTATGGCAAACAAAAAATGATGTAGCAGTTCTTTTGAATATTTATTTAAAGCAAGAAATGGCAATTGGAGATTTACAAGAAAAAAGAAAGATTGCTAACTGAATCTTTGTGCTATTGAAAAATGCTTTTTCAAGACAGAAACTAGTTTGTATTTTCTGAATAAGCTTTCGAAATATTTGACAAAGTGTTATTGATTTCATTGATAGAAATTATCATTTTTCAGGAGGTAGTAAAATTGCAGTTTTATATATTTTTGGTCAGTGGCATATGGATGTTAACCCATTGATGCCAGAAGTGTATGTGTATATGTACTCTCCACTTTGGTCTTGTTTTATCAATTTTGCATACACACAGATGGCTTAGTTAAGGGGGCTGTCACACCAGAATAAAGTTCGTTAATTATGATCATTACTAATTATGATTTTTTAGTATGATAAATATACATATACTAAAATTTAAACCACCAAGTTTCGTATTATTTGGATAATAAGCAACGAAGTTATAAAAAAAAAAAATGAAAGATGAAAAAAGTTTGAAAGTTACATATCTCACTTATCCATTGACTGTAAACCTGTTAAGAAAAATACCACATATACTCTATAGCAATACCTAAACCTTGTTTGATTTGGATATAGAAATTTCCTCTGTTTTTGTTGTTGTTGTTGTTGTTGTTGTTGTTGTTGTTATGAATATAAAATGTAATATATGGACTTTCATCACCTGAAATGAAAATACCCAGGCACAAAAAAAATTATTCAGCTTTCAAATGATTCAAACCCCATTAGAATTGCCCAAGTAGTTATGAACAAAGGTGTATTTTTGAAATATCAGGGTTTGAAGTTGAGGACACTTTTTCCTTCGTTATTTTTTAATTATTTTTTTATTTATTTTTTGATCTGATCACTGTGTCAATCTTGATGCATTTGATGGCATTTACATGGTATTCAGAAGTGTAGCTGCTACCTGGTCCCTCCCTATTGCAAGGGAGGGGTCAGGTACTGCACATGATGTAGAAGTACTGTGTGTTATCACAGGCTCACAGTGACTCTACAGTAAATCATGAGGCATTTCATATGAACAAACAACTGCTGCAGCTTTGATTGATATGTATTTCTCATCATATTATGTTTAATAGTTACATCTATCTTATTAGCGTCCTCTTAGTGTGCGATGAGGGCACATCAGGGGTATGTCTCTGGGATGGTGTCATGCTGCTCTGACTCTTTCATGGTGACTGCCCACTTTGTCTCTTAGTTGTGACTATCAGCTGATTCAGAAGCAGAATTGACTCCTTTATTTTTACATATTTAGCAAAAATATTATGTCATGGGGTTGCCAAAGCATACTTGATTATAGGAGATTTATGAGTTTTTGAAAATATTTGTTGAAAATTCAGTGCAATGGCCCCCTTAAATTGATTTAATTACTAGGCCTACCTGATCTTACCTGTTTACCCCATTCCTTTAATTGCTGGAAAGAAAGGTTTTTGTTCTTATTACCAATATTATTGTTAACCCACTTGTGCTGGATGTCACACATAGGTGATGCCTGGAAAAATAAAACAACACTAGATCAGAGTTTGCACTCTGATTTTGTAGCCTGTGGTGCACAGCGACGGGCAGATTCCAGGACTGGCCAGCACACAGATTTTGATACTGCCTGGAACTGGGGAATATCGCCTTCCAAATGGAAGGCGATAGGGGTTAATTTTATGATGATTGTGACAATAATGATAATTATATAGAAATAAGAACTTGTTCCTGAAAATTCACAGAATAAGGTAAAGATAAGTCAGGTAGACCTAGTAATTGACTCTTTGGTGACAAAACCCTTGTGTAGGCATTAGGTTGTAAATAAGATTGATGAATTAAAGCCACAATGCCAGTGGGTTAAATTAAGTGCAGGGAGTTCATCCTTAAATAATGACCCATATACTTTTGCATTGATTTGTACATTACATTGTACATTACTGAAACAGCACAGTACACATTTTTGATGGTGTTAAATGAGCTAACTTTAACTTTTATTATTTAATAAAACTTTACACAAGCATGTCTAGAAGAATAAAAAGATGCTTGCTTGCGAGGTTTAAGCATGATTGCATTACCCACATGATTCTTCTACTCTTTTGCACTAGGTCGATTGTTCACTATGGAAGGGCTGAGCTGAAACAGAGTGACCATCGACCAGTGTTGGCAGTGATTGATGAGAAGGCTGCACTGTCATTGACTCAAAGCTTGCCAGCACCTACGAGTCTGTTGTAGCATCACTTGGTCCTTCGGACTGTACTGTTGTAGTGCAGGTAAGCTGAAAGAATTAAGCAGGGTGTTACTTTTGTTGAAGGGAAAGTACACCAAGTCATTTATGTTAAGTTGGATGTAAAGAACAAATCAGATTACTTTTTCCAGTTGTGTATATATGTTCTAATGACATATTTTAGGAGTCATGGTTTTCACACACACAAATTTCATTCCATGAATGTTATATAGCACTTTTTCATAATACATTATCAACTCTTCTCAATCAGCAAGCAGAGGAGGAGTAAAGATAATTTATTAGTGAATATGAATGTCAGGACTAAGGATTCTAGCAATTAAATGGTTGTGATTTATACTGCATACAGCTGATTTTAGATCATTTTATGCTTATAGTCTGTGTACATTATTTTCTCCCTTTTATTGACAATATATGATCAGATAGCAAATACAGCATGCTCCATTTTAAAGATGTAGAAAGTTTTATTCCTAAAGAATGATTGTTTTATGGAAGACTTCCTAGAATGATGCATTTTAATCCATTCCCATTTGATGTAAAGATAGTGAAGTTTGGAATCTTCTCGTAAGGAAGCAACTTCTAATAGCATTTCCTTATTATGTTTCATTTAGTGAGCTCATTCAATTGTTATTTTTTTTTTATAATAAATTTATTGTATTATTCTTTTTTGCTAATAGATGCCATGTTCTCTGTTATTTGCAGACTGCATTCAAATTCCTGGCAGCTTTACTATTTATCTTATTCATGCAAGACTCAACTACTGAATCTATTATCCTCAATATTTTGTATATTGTTTTCTTTATTTTATATTTATATTGCTGTTCAGAAAACAGGACATTTACCAAAGATTACCCATTAACCCATTGGATCTGGATGCTTAACTGCTATCATGTGGCCCAAAATATGGGCATTAGGCATATGTGAGCAGACACACTGCTTGGTATGGGGCTTCTAGGCCAGGTGCAAACAAACACGCATATGGTGACAAGACTCTCTTTTAAAAAGTTTTTTTTTTCTGCATAAGCAGTTTTAGCTTTTATGCCATCTTGCAATGTCTATATTTGTCATTATATTTACTTTATCCTGTTGTTAATAGACTTTTTCCTTGCATTGACTCCATGTCATCTCTCTAATTAGTCTATAACTTGGTGCAATGATAATAACAATAAGTAACTTTTTTCATGATATTAAATTTTCTGTAATATAACCTGTGCTGCTGATCATAGTTGGAAGGAACAGGCTCCTGAGCATGGAAATGGTGTCTACCCAGGAGCTGGGCCCTTCCAGTTTTGGCTAATGGACATTACATTCCACACTGGATATAATGCAAAAGTAATACAACTTGCTCTGCCAGTCACAGTAGGCATGTATACAGAGTTTAATCGCCCTCTAAGAGTTTTGTGCACTTGTTGAGAGTCATTCTCATCACTCTGGTCTTTAGCCAAAATTCGTATGACTGCATTTCCCATGACCCTGACCCACAGCCAGATTTTCCCATGATGGCATGTTCACATCATCCACCCTCAAGTCAGATTTTTCATGGCATTACAATCCAGATCATAGTGTGTTAAAAAGAATAGATGTAGAGATGTATTGAATATAAAGTTAGCCTTACAATATCCCATTGTAATATAGCAGGCACACCTTGGCTGTTTATCTAAAGACTCTTGTTTCTTTCTATTAAATTTGAAGAAGGCTTTTTAGCATTTTGGCAAATTGGGTGCAAGATCAAATTTCCTAGGGAGGATGGGGGGGAATGGCAAGTAATTCCTGTTATATAGGCATTTCTCCTTCTGGCCCTATCCCAGATCCTGTTGGGAAGCTTAACATATTTCATAGTTTTTCTTAACCCACTAATGATGGGTGTCCCACATACGAGACATAAAAAATAAATATTACCGGACCGTGTGACATTCCGCCAGTGTGATGCTGTATCGGGGCTCGTGCTCTGACGCAGCAGTGAACCATGGCTGACAGGCTTCAGAGTCCCGAGCAGCTCCGCCCTCAGATTTTGTAGCCGCCTGGAATCTTTTATGTTCGGCTTTCAAAAATACCGGCATTAATGGGTTAAGCCACACGAGATGCTTATTATCACCTAAAAATTTGTAATATGGCAAAAAGGATTTAGAAGAAATTGTAGCCAACTTGTATAGTATTTCAGTACAATAAGCTTTCAACAATGCTTGTGCTGTTGTGGCTTGAAAGTTTGCTTCACTCTCATTATTATAAAGAATGTAACCACAATAAATCATGATTATGAGAATTTAGAGAGGGCTATGTAACATAAGAAGCTACTGTATGTAAAGTAGACCTATTAAGATATTAATATCTGTGACAGATATAGCAAGTAAAAATAAATGGTAGGGTTGGGGCATAGAATTTTGAATCCCATTAAGAAAGCTTGATGAGTGTTCCTCATTGTCCCAAATGGTACCCTTAATGTGAATATTGCTTTGAAAGGAATCCCTCCCAATACCTTGCTCATTGTTGTTGTGGAGGGCTTAGGAGACGGAGACTGAGACTGAGGCCTATTGTAGGGATCTCCCTACCTTGGGGCTCAGCCCTTGCCTCAACTAATTTTGCTTGGTCTTTTCTTCTCTTTTCCTCTTCAATATCTTCTGCTGAAAGGATGAAAGGCTGGCTTGAAAGGCCTCCGGGAGCCTTGGGTACAGTATTCCCTTGGTTAATTGCCTAGCCCTTATCTGTTATGGGGACCCTGAGTGGTAGACCACTTCATTTCCCCATTTTATTGAGGCTCACCATGGCCAATAATGAAGATTCTTTAACCTTAATAGGGGCTTTAAAGCTTGCCCCTTTATCAACAAGCCTATCTGAATTTGATTTTGATGGTTTTCCAACCCCTGCCCCTCCTTTGGCCACAGCTCAAACTACTGATACTAATACCCCCTCTTTGACACCCACCTAGGCTAATACTCAATCTTTAGAAAGCACCCCATCCTCTCCCAACTTTGTCTTCTCCATCTCCTATTGCACAATCCTCGTCAATGTCTACCCCCTCTTCCGCCTCCCTCCCTTCTACTGCCTCTACCTCTGCAAACCTTTTGAGTACTCTCTTTGGCTCAGCCAAATGAGATCAATTCTTTTGTGATTCCCCTAAAAACCCTAACTGACCTTGCAGGCAAACATATCCAGCTGAACCTCACCCCTCTCTAATATTTGTACTGGAACTGTTTTACTCCCCCATATGTTTGTCATATCTACAACAAGGACTGGTCAGACTGTGAAAATGACCTGCTTACCTGCCTTGCTGGCTATGATGCAGTGGCAATACAGTGTTGCACTATTCCTCCCAGAGGCCAGCATAAGTCCCATGTTGATATTGCCAGGATTAGCTTACGTAGACATGACCGCTCCCATGAAGTTTATATCGGTGGATTGTCCAACCATATCATCCCTTCCTCATCAATGTCAGAAATGTGGTCATTTTGGCAATCCAGCTAAACACTGTCATTCCTCAGCCCACTACCCTTTTGTGCCCAACCTGGTCATGACCATTCAATTGCCCTGCTCAGTCACGTACATGTGCCTGTGGAGACTCCTATTTTTACAGTAGCTGCCCTGCCTATAAGCTCAAATGTGAGGTAGCAGTCCTCAGATTTAAACCAGGCCCCACTCTACATGAGGCCAGATAAGCACAACAACAAGGTTTTTCTCTCTCAACCTATTCCAAAACTCCTTCGCTCTGCTCCCCCACCATCTTCACAAGATATTTCTGCATCTCCCCCAGTATCTCTCCCTATACCCTAAACCATCCTACATCTACTAACCTATCCCCCAGTGAAATTTGTTTTCTGTTCTAAATCCAGATACTCCAATCTCTACCACTTCCCTGATACCTACCCCTCCTCCTCACTTTATTTGTCTTACCAGGCAACCCAATCTAAATGTTCCACTCCACCCTCTCCTATTACATCCTCTCCTACACCTTCCTCTTCTTCTGCTCCTCAGATATCTATCTCCTCTTCTTCTCCTCATAAAAGAACCTTTGTTTCTCAGTCATCTTCACCCAGCTCCCTTCCAGAAACTGTAGACGACATCCAAAACTTCCTAAAGATGACCCAAGGGAATACTCCACCCAACCCCAATCCCTTTGTTCCTACTCCTGTATTTAAAGAATTTGCAGATATCCATCTTCCTCCTCAAGTTTCCTCCTCCCCCCTTCCTCCTACACCCTCCCAACATACCCCACATTTTCTACCACTCCCACTTAAAAACTCACACAGATCGCCTCTATTACAAGTGTCCAGACCCCTCCCTTTCAGACTTGATTTTTTCTTTGATTTGATTTGATTGATTTGAATTCCTGATACTTTACCACCTACCCCAGTCCCCCTTTCTCATCCCCAAATTATTCTCCTCCTATTTCTCCAACAGCCACCTCTGTTTTCCTTCCTGTCACAGATACACAGCAATTCACTCTCTTGCTCTACCCCCTTAACCTTTCCCATTTTAATAATCCTCTTCTACTTCATTTACTTCCCTCTTTTCCCTTTTTGTGAGCATACTTTCCTATAACACCCTTTAATCTTTCACATCTAACACCTTAACCTCTCCCAGATTCTTCTCCTACTCTTCCAACATTCATCTCTAATTTTTAAACATTGTTCCTATACCTTCCCCAGTGACAGATACACTATAATTCACTCAATTGCCCTACCTCTTTAACTCTCCCTTTCTACTAATATCTGCTCTAGTTCACTTATATCCCCTTTTTTCCCATTTCAGCACCATACTATCCTATAACACTCTCTAATCTTTGACACCTGACACATTTTATCCTAATCTTTAACTGTTCTTTACTCTTTCCAACACAATACTTTACCATAGTGCTATATGACCTTTGATAGCTAGTACGTTTCTTTGTTTCAGATATTAAACATTAGAAAGGAATAAACTTACAAATTTGATAATTTCCCATTATTCTGTGCATTTAATTTTCTACGATACATTTGTTATAAAAAATATTTTTGTAATTTGGCTATAAAGAGGAGAAAATCTTAAGCATTAGATTGCATGAACACTGATAAAGAGGATTATCTCAAATACTCAGAAGTGATGACTTTTGAAGTAGTTGTGTGTTTAGAACAGAAATAATGATATACAAGTTTTTATTTTTCTTGTTTTTTCTTCCATTTTTTCTTCTTCTTCTTCTTCTACTACATTATGATAGCATTATTGTCTTTGATAAAAATAACAATGTTAATGTGAATAGCTTTAGTAAAAATGGAAGACAGAAAATGGAAAATTAGGTGAGGTAATGAAGTGTACTAATTGACTACTTGGTGGCCATCTGTGTGTAAAGACATTTTACAACAAAAAACTACAGTGAACGTTATTTGTTTCCAGATCTACCATCTTGAAATTGTTTTTTTTTTTTTCTTCTTCTTCTTTTCTTTCTTCATCTTTTTATTTTTCCCAGAAAGTCACCCTTTAACATCTTTTCATATGCCTTTGAAATATTACTGCAGAATATTTCTTGTAAATTGGTTGAATTTTAGTTTATTCCAAAATTTTGCAAGTTGTCTGGCTTTGGAACAGGACAAGGGGGAGTTTTCAAAATAAAAAAATATTTTTTTCTCATGTATGCCAGTAAGCAATGTTCTAGTTGAATATGAGACAGCACCTCAGTACATCCATAACAATAAAGAGGGTAGTTGCAAGCCATTTTGTACTCCTTAACCACTTGGATCTGGGTAATATCATCACACTATGATGAAATTTGGCTTAAGTGCTGGGGTAACATTGAACATGCCTTCATGGAAAAAGTGACTCCCCACAAGTGCAAAACTTGGAGGGTGATTAGACTCGGTGTTTATGCCTGCCGTGACCAGCAGAGCAGGTTGTGTTACCGAAAATTAAATATTACAAAAGAGAAAAAAAATTACAGAATGTTATTTATTATTATGGACTGCCTGAAGATTCTAAATGCCAACAAGGAATAAAAAAATGCTACGGGAGTTGATGTTGATAGAAAGAAATATTCTATTTATCCTAGGTTCCAGATTTTTATTCGTTTGGTATCAATCTCTATCTCTTAGTGCACTCCATACAGAGGAAAATCCCTCAACAAACATGATAGAGAGAGAATATGTCAATGATGGTAATTATTATAAGTAAAAACAATTATAACCATAGAAATATTGATAATGATAAAGGGGAAAGTAAACCATGATTGTTCATGCCGCAGGTTCAGAACCTCCCTCCTGGAGCTGATGCAGATTCTGTTTTTGACGATGAAACACTGGAGAAAGTCCAAGAAGCCATGGGAACAGTGGGCTCTGTGGTGCTTGTGCGCTTTGTGGATAACAGAGTTTGGTTCACGTTTAGCGATTCGCAGACAGCACTAAAGGCTATAGGATGTAGTCCATTACAGGTAATTGAGATTGGGATTAAGCTTGCCTATGTGGATAGTGATGTTTTGTTTCTTAGAAAAAAAAAGATAATAATGATACGTGAATAAATGGTAAAGGATGATTGATATATGAGAATAATTGTTGCACCAGAATGTATGTATGATTTATAGTAATAGATAGATAGCAATACATATGCAGTATTTCAGCCTTCTGATAATGATTACAGATAGGGGACACAGGCTGGAAGTGAAGCTCAAGACAGAGGCCTGGAGAGACCAGCTGGAGGAGGAGCTTGCCCTCTGCGGGGACACTACTGTACCTCTTATAGAGGAGACCCTCAACATCTCAGACCAAGTGGATACTTCTTTCAGCATTAGAAATATTGAAGGTAAAAGTTGTACATTATTTAAATGTTTTTATTTAGATATTTTATTTTTTGCCATGCCAGTTCCGCAAAATGTTGCTGAAAGTCAAAGTATTCTGCTGCCATCCGCAGTCTTCAGTCTGACAGTGACCCTTACGATCCTCAACTTTCCACCTCTGGAAGGATAACCCAGACAATTCTGAGGGTTACTTAATCTTCCCACCGCTACCTCTTTGAGACTACGCCTGGTTAAAGAGAGAAAGAAAGGCTGAGATCCCTTCTGCTACCCCTGACTATGACCCTGAGTATTCTAGAGACCAGCCTGACCTTGGAGATTCAAACTGGACTTCAAGGAAGAGGACTATAACAACGATGATGATCATGACTATATACCTGAAGCTGCTGCCAAGAGTGATTGGAATAGGAAGAACTAGATTACAGTCAGAATCAAGTGATGTGTCATAGACAGTAATCTAGTCACTGTCCAACATAGCTTGTCATCTTTCCAACAAGAAGAAGCAAGAGTCTGTGATAAGGTGGTATGGGTTTTCTACATCTCCAGTTGGCAAGCTAGAGCACCTGGATAGGTACAACAGTTGACGACACATCTGCCTTTAAGATATATATATGGGCCAAGACTGGGATGAGATTCAAGTCTCCATGAAGATAGTGGTGGAATTGATGCAGGAAGACTTACAAGTAAAGGCCTGAGGAATGGTTGATTTTCAGTCCACTGCCACAGGATTTATGAACCTGTCTTGGGTGGACAAAAAGCCTTTGAACTTGCTCTCCACCATCCACAACAGTGAGATGCTGGACTTGCCACAAAATCAATGCAGAAGTCAGAAGGAAGCCACAGGTCGTCATCGACTACAATACTGGGATGAAAGGGACTTGGCTATTATCAATGTCTATGCCATCCACAGGGCTCTCAGGGGGACACTAACCCAGCTGAACTTCTAACTCATTCTGACCTCAAACTTCCTGTGGTGTCCACCACACTGAGGGAGGAGTATCACCTACATGCCAGCCACCCCACCACCATCCCACCTCTGACACCAACAGCATCAGCAATCTCTACTAGCTGAACACATTTTGAGTTTCAGATCTGGGAAAAAGTAGTATTTCTGTATGTATGTATTTCTGCAGCAGTGCCACTGTTGCAGAAATACATGCTAGTTAAAGAATGAGACTTGAAACTGTATTTATTACTCATATTTTTATATGTATTTTCTATTATTTCTATGAATATATTTGCAACTAAAACTATATCTTCATATCCAGTTTTCAAATACTAATAACATTCACTCCATTGAAGCAAAGCTAAGGCTCTCCAGAGACTCTGTAGTCATAGTCTTGATGATCAGAGAGGAATTACAATAGAAAAAAGTAGAAATATTGAACGACAAACTCCTTTCATAAAAAAAAAAAAAAAAAAAAGATTATTCACAGAACAGACACAAAACTTCTAAGCTTCTCCAAATTCATAAATCATCAGTGCATGAAGATCAATTAATTAGAAAAAAACATTATCTCAGTTATGAGATATATAATCCAAAAGCCTCCAAAGTACGACTAATCCATGATATTGTACATATCTTTCCTCTCCATGTTTTACACAACACCAAAAGTATGATCAGTTATAAAGTGTGATGGATGTAGCGGATATTGCTTAGGCCAGGCAAATACGCTCCTGTCACAGCTTCTTATGTGGTTCCCCACCAAACTGAATAATATGGATTAAATATTGGGGTAGTTTTTATTTCTTGATTATTAGTTATGCAGGTTTTGGTTTGGTTTGGTTTGTTCATATATATCTTTTTCCTCTTTATTTACCTCCCAAAGTTCTTGGGAGTTCTGTACACCATACCATATTTAAATCTAATTCCAATAGTAAATGCTTCAAATTTATACTTTCCCCCTTCTCTTCTCCATTCATCTTTCTTAATTATTTTGTCCTTTCTATCCATTCATGTATCTCACACAGTAAATAAAAAAAACATTGGCAAATATTTAACAGGTGCCATGGAGAAGTTGTATCAGTCAGAACTTGAGGGTGAAGAGGATCCAGCCAGCAGTGAACCAATAAAGGAACAGCGGTCCCCCATCCAGCCCTCTCGGCCCCCACCTCCACGCCCTGCCCCATCAAGACCTCCCCCTCCTCGTCCCACTCCCCCAGGATCTGCTCCAACTTCACCAGCCATAGCTCGGGCTCAGACCAAGGTTAGCAGACCAGTGGACTTTTATTTTAATCAATTAGCTTTTTAAAAATAGTGCATGAAAGTAAAAAAAATTATAATTATACTATTTCATGATTGTAATTATTATGCAGGTAAAGCTGGCTAATAAAAAATTGTGAACACCATAAAAGTAGCAAGCCTGGATTTTATGTGGTAACCGGGAGTGCATTCATGGATAACATTATAAACCATGTTAGTAAATTGGGTCCAAGCAAACTTTGTCACTTAGATTTTAATAATTGATGTGAAATGCATAAGAAAGCAATGCAAACAGATATTCCATGCTATAACTTTTCAACTTAATGCTAATATCCTCAGCTATACTCCTACCAGCTTGCATTCACTAAAGGATGAATACTCTAACCCAATCCCGACGGGTCATTTTCCGATACGCGCGACCCTTTCCCCGGCAGTATTCGCAGCGGCCTGGGCCTTGCTGCCGGGACCCGTGCCATATCCCTGTGGCAATACCAGCATTCCTTGCCTTTTCTTTGTATCACTAAGATTTTTTTTTTTTTTTTTTTATTATTTTCTAAGGTATATATTTGCTATGTTTTCCTATAAGTCAAGTATGTATGACAGTTTTTTCGTAGTATAGACTCCACAGTTGATAAGTACGTTATCACATCATATACGTAATACGCATATATTTTTTTATTTTTTATTCCTGTTGTAAGTTATTTTTGGGAGTCGTATTTGTTCAATATCATTGGATCAAGTCTGTAAAGAAGCTTTCTTTCTTTTTTTCTTTTTCCTTCTTTCTTTTCTTTATTCTTTTCATGTTTCAAGATTATTTTCTTGAGTATTCTTTTCATATTGGTGTGTAAAGAAATAGTGTGGTATATGAGGATATAGAAAGTTTTTTTTCACATTTCGTATTTTATTTACGAAAGTAAATATTACAATATGTACAAGGTCGTGGCGTGAGGAGGATCACCTAGACGTAGATGCGTTCAGAGTGTGATATTCCTCAAAGCAGGAAGTCCGACAGAGAGAACATCACACCCTGAACACATCATCTTGGTCATCCTCCTCACGCCACGAGAGTAGCACAGTCTGCACCTACGGTATATCGTGTCGATATCTGGCAATGGATACCCTGAAGAGCCGGAGCGGGAGCGGAGAGCGGGACCGGGACCGGACCGCGACCTGACCTCTCTACCATCGCGACTCCCCAGCTGCATGAGATCTTCTGCGAGCCTTTTCCTGAAGATCAGCTGAGTCAATCGCCCTCCGAGCACCTTGTGCAATGAGAAGGCGTTGACGACTGTCATATCAACAAGGTTGAACAAAACCTTCTTGTACCACTTGAGGGACTTGCGAGTGCTCGGGTACGATACAGCCAGCTGATCACTGTTATCGACCCCCTTCATCCCACAGTTGTAGTCTGCGACTACTTGGGGTTTGATCCTCTCAAACCCACTGCGGGATCTCGCTTTTGTGGACAGTCGACAGCAACGTCACTACACGCCTGTCGCGCCATTGCAGGCACAACATGCCTGTAGGCGTGCTGCGACTGTCCACATCCCGGGCTTTTACCTGCAGATCAGTGGGCATGAACTTGCGGGTGGCACGTACTGTGCCAATCGCGTTCGTGCGCCTGCTCTGCAGGTAATGAAAAAGGGTAGGCGACGTATACCAGTTATCGGTATACAGATCATACCCTTTATCAAATAAGCCCGCGGCGCCCATCAAGTGGATGACAGCCCTCTGGGATGCGGGTATGTCGCTTCTGTCCCTGCCCGTGTAAATTTCGAAGGCGCATATGTAACCGTTGCCCGGGCCTTCACTGGCCGCGAGCTTGTAGACCTTCACCCCAAAGCGCGAGCGCTTGCTGGGGTTATAGGTCACGGCTACAAAGCGCCCCCGAAATTTCCAGAGACTCGTCGACTGTAATCCTCCTGGGAGGAGTAAAGACCGACGAGAACTGACGCTGGAGAATTTCGATAGCTGGCCGCAACTTCCACAGGCGGTCATCGGGGGGATGACTCCCCTCGTTGTCCACCACGTGGAGGTAGCGGCTCAGCTGATCGAAACGATCCCGCGTCATAGTCACTGGGAACAGGGGACTGTGGTAGAACAGGTCGGTCGACCAGTAACTCCTCTGCTCGGGCTTTTGGTTGATCCCCATGGCCATCCTGAGGCCGATGAAGACACCAAGCTCCGAGACAGAGGTGTCTACCCAGTCCTTCATATGAGAAGAACTGGGCCCTGGCTTTTGACGGTGGTACCTGGAAAGATAGAAATGCAAAAATTAGTCATTGTACACAATGTAATCATTATATATTCACATATATATATATATATTATATATTCAATTTGACAAAAATATGTAAATGAAACAAAAAATTACGTGAACTTACCGGTTTGTCTCGCAGACGATCATATCCATGAGTTCGTCGGTGAAGAACAAGGAGAAAAGTTCCAGCGGGCTGGAGTCAGAGTCCACCCCGGGGGTGTTGACCCCAGGCTGGGCCCTGAAACCATACCTTGTGGGAACATTCTCCTTCTTCCTCCACCGGAACCCAGGCTGTCCTGGAGAATTCCGCTCCCGCAACCGCTGAGCGTAAGCAGACAGCGGCTCATCCTCATCTAGAGTCGTGTCGTGGGACACGTAATCTAGATCGGAATCATCGCCGCTGTCGCTACCGAGGTCGCTGTCGCTGCTGCCCTCGATGAGAACCCGACCCCTTGGCACGAACCTCTCGCCGGATTCATCATCCGACGAGTCGTCGTAAAAGCTCAAGGGGCCAGCCGAGGTGGAAGGCTGAGGGTCATCGGGAGGGGCAGCAGCGGCAGCGGACGAAGTGCGCGTGTTCCGAGGCATCTTCAGGGTATTCACGGCAGAAGTAGACTGAATAGGCCTGCCTACCACACCTCTATATATTACCTTCGTCAACCAATCAGATTGCGCCATTTCCCTGGTTCTCGAACAATCCACCGGGTTCTCAAACAATCCACCGGCAAGCAAACTACCTCGCGCCCCGTTCCCTCGTTCAACTACCATTAGCCTCGTTTGCGGTGATTTTCTCTTTTCTTTTCTATTTTTCTTTATTTTCTATTTGCTATCCATTGCTTTGATATTAGTCTCATTGCTAACACACACGCAAGTGAACGCTCGCACACACGCGCACGCATATACGCAAGCGAATAGTACTGCTTCATACACATGCTGAATCACACACACGCGAGCGCGCGAGCGCACACACACATATATACGCACGCGTGTGAGCACGCACACACATAAACACACGCGTGAGCGCGCACACGCACACATACGCACGCGAATACTATTGCTGCATACACACGCTGAATTACACACATGCGCGGGAGCACGCACACGCACAAACACACGCGCGCGAGCACGCACACGCACACACACACGCGCGAGCGCGCACACGCACACACATATACGCACGTGAATACTATTGCTGCATACACGCACGCTGAATCACACACACACATGTGAGCGCGCAAGAGCACATACGCACGTGAATACTATTGCTGCATACACACGCTGAATCACACACACACACTCGCGCGAGCGCGCACACGCATACATATATGTGCACACAAATACTATTGCTGCATACACACGCTGAATCACATACAGATGCGCGCGCGCACGCCCACGCACACATATATACGCATGCGAATAGTAATGCATACACGCGCTCGCGGGTGCTGAATCATGCCGCGACTGACCTGTTTCGCGAGTCGCGGGCCGATTGTCGACGTAATTTTTCAGACGCTTACCTCTGAAGCCAGAGTACGTCTTATGTAAGAAAATGATAATATTTATAAAAAAACTAATCCATCAGTGTTTCAGTATCAAAAAAAGAATATTTTACCGTATTTGCAAAAAAAAGATCATGGCATGGCCATACATGTCACCGGAAAATGGGAGTGGCGAATTATGGCATGTATGTACATGCCACCCGGCATATGGCCTCGGCATGCCATGGCATGTACGTACATGCCACCCGGCGGGAATGGGTTAAAAAGAAAAGACAATCACGTGGCCGGAATATTTAGGCATAAAGTTATGGAAGTGGATGCTCAGCTAGGCCGTTTGTAGTCCAGTTGCACATGAACTCATATGCTGTGACAATATTCTATGCCTCTCCTGAGGAAAGTTTTTTTATATAAACTTTTTAGCTTTTTTGCCATTTTCCAATGTCCATATTCTTCTCTTGATTTGCTGTATCCAGATGGTAATAGATTATTTTCCTTGCTCAGACTCTATATCATCTCTTTATGTAGTAAATAACTTGGTGCAAGAAAAAAAAAAGTAATATTTTGTTGTTTTGGCATATTTTTAATTTTTTCATAATTTTCACTTTTCCATAATACATCCTGTACCGCTGGTCATGGCGGCCAGGAATATAATGGTGAGCATGGCACTCTTCCAGTCACGGCTTATACACATTGCATTCCACAAATATTTATTGATTGTATCAATGCAAAAGACCCCTTCTAAAAGCCATATGAGTCTAATCACATCCAAGAGGTTTGTGCACTCGTGGCAAGTCTTCTCTGGCACCTTGGCCTTTACTTATGATGGTAAGTACATGTCGCATGGCCCAAAAATTTTCCATGACAGGATGGTCACATCAACTGGATGAAAGGGGTTAATAGTAATAATGATAACAACAAATGAGCAGATAGAATATATATAAATGCACTTTAATATCTGTTGCCAATATTTTCTGTTCCCTTTCTCTAATATGTGAGAGTTGATTACTTCTTAACTTCACTGTTTCGTCATCCAAAGAGTGAAAAGAAATGTTCTTTTTATGCTCATTTATTTGCCCTTGCTCAGTCATGCAATGGTTGTGTAGCATATATATTTATATTTCCTGTAATTCCTAAAAAACCTTGGTGTAAAAGCAAGCTACTTTCACATCTATCAGTTTGCTGTATCTGGTATTAACCCCTTTGATCTGGATGACATGACCATTGAGAAAAAATTTGGCTTGAGGGTTGGGAGACGTCAGCCGGCTGTTATGGGAAAATCTGTTGGCGGGGCCCAGGTGACACAAACTTACTGTCAAGATCATTTCAGCTGGAGACTGGGATAACAGAAAAGATTCGCAGTGAGTGCTAAAAGCTCCAGGAGGGTGATTAGACTCTTTTAGTGTTTAGAAAGGGGCTTTTACATTATTCCCATTGATTAACAGGTGTGAAATGTAGTGTCCGTGAGCTATAACTGGAAGAGCGCTAGGTCCAGGGAAGACTACATTTCCATGCTCAGCATACTATTCTTTACAGCTGTGACTGGCAGGGCAGGTTGTATTACAGAAAATTTAAAATTGAACAAATAAAAAGAAAAAAAATGCACAAATAACAAAATATATATTTTTATTGCACTGAATTATGGACTACCTAAAAGGGATGATATGGAGTCTGTGCAAGGCAAATAGTCTATTACCATCTGGGTAAAGCAAATCATTGGAGTATGGCATAAAAGCTAAAAACACCTATGGATAAAAAGAGAAAATAATATTGCAAAGGCATGGCATAGAGTCTTGTCAGAATTTACTTTAATCAACATCTGGCAAATCTCTTGTGTCTAAAAGCTTTCAATGAGCTGTGGTCTTAGTAATTCACGTCTGTAGAGCACCACTACCTCTGATCGCATTCTCAACAATTGATGTAAATATTCAAACTGCCATTTCTCATTTCTATATGTTTTTCTTATATATTTGTAACTACAAGTAAGACATTGCATTTTGTGTAGGTAATATTATTCTTGGTACCAAAGAAATTTTTATTTTTTGTATTTTTTTCGAACTCTTTTGTGATGGGTATGTTTATAATGGCTTATGACTTATATAGTATCATGACTTGTAATCGGTGGGCTGGCTGTACACAGCTTTGGTCTAGCCACAAAGTTTAGTCTGTTGCATAATATTACATCAAAAAAATTCTTTTCTTGAAAATTCAAACTCAGATATCGAAACAAATAAAAGAAAGGAAAAAAACAGATACCAATTCTAGGTAAGAAGTGAAGGATATAACTGATTTTTTCATTGACTGTAGTCATTCATTTTGATCAGTTTGAGATATAACATTTATATAATAATACCAACCAGAAATAAAGGTAAAAAATAAGGATACACAGATTTAGACAGTGACGGTCCCCTTATTGAGAAGGAAGGGAAACACAATAACAGACAATAATACCACATATTCCTGTGTGATAATAAATTTTTCAAATGTATATATTGTGTTGAGAGGGATTTCTTCCAAGAAGTTGATGGCACCCAATTATGACTATATAAATCAGTTATATATAATTTAGAGATGCTCCATGACTAAACAATTGGAAAGAAAGATATGTATGGATAGTATGTTTTCAGTCTTTTGCCAAGTGAATTTTCAAGTCAGAACAATAACCAGTATGTATATGATATACCAAGGGAAAGTGGCAGATGCTTATATGATATGATTATATATCTATTTTCATCTTATTTGTATTTTTCTTCTTCATGGAAGCATTTGTCCATAAGCTAGTGGAAGCTATGGAAAGAATAACTATGTTAGGGCAGTAACATTCAATTAGGAAATTAAGTTAGGAAATGTTTCTTCTTGTACTTTTCTTTGCATTTCATTTCAGTGTTCAAATATGAGGGAAAAGTTTGCTTAGACTTGTTTAACATTGTTTATTGAACAACAGGATTTGTATTGTTACACTTGAAGCCTAAGTGTTCCCAGATACAATCCCAGCTGCAAGCTCCAAACCAACGTCACAACGCCCTGCAATGTTTATTTTTCCAGCTGGATCGGAGCGCAAGCTCCGATCCAGCGTCACACTGGTGGACGCCCAGCAATGTTTATTTTTCTGGGTGTCACTTGTGTGACACCTCCCGTAAATGGGTTACGGTGGCTGCAGATTTACTTAGCCAGCTGTACAGAAAAATAGAATATAAAGAAAGCAAACTAATTTTTCAGGTTAAGGTCATCACAAAGCCTGTGCGACCTTCTCAGCTGGCACCAGCAGGAAGCTCTATGGCCTCAAAGTCACCCACTGCAGAGGAACAGAACCAGGAAATTGCCCAGTGCCCCAAACCTCCTAAGCCAGAGATGGAAGCACCCCCAGCGCCAAAACCAGTTTTACCACCCCGTACTCCATCTTTAGAAAGTCCCGTTGCAGAAAAATCTGCAGCTTCCTTCACTAGCTCCCTATTTGGTGGTCCTCCTTCTTTGCCAGCTGATCTTCCTCCCCCTGCCACCAATGACCAGCCCTCTGTGTCCCCTTTTGGTGCTCCTCCTTCATTGCCAGACAATTGTCCTCCATTGGTACAATCTTCAACCAAACCTTCCGAGGGGCAGACCACAGCTTCTCCTTTCGACAGCCTGCCTTCTAAAACTGACAATGTGCCTCCTAGTATACCTTCATCTGAAACGCCACCTTCTAGCCAGCCGCCTTCAGGGCCACCACCTGGTCCTCCCCCTTCCCTCCCCCCTCCTGGACCACCTCCTTCTCTCCCACCAAATGGCCCATCCTCAGCTCCCCCAGCAGGGCCCCCACCTAGCTTACCTGCAAGGACCCTCCCTCCTGTGCCAGCTAGAAGTGGTGCAGGAGCACCTCCTCCAATCCCATCCCGATCCTTACCCCCAGTCCCTGCACGAAATCTTCCTCCAGTGCCACCCCGAAAGTAGTTTTGTGTCCTTTTTGTTGTGTATTTAGATGGCTTTTCTGAGGCTTGTCAGGCATCTTTTATTTTTTACACAGTGAATTTGGGTAATATATTATGCTGATTTTAGGGGAATGTCTCTTGTTTGAAAAGATCCCCTTTGTCATTTTGAAAGGATAGGAGAAAGAATGCTATAAGGCCATAATAGCAAAAAAAAAATGTTTTTAATTTCAGTATTATTATTGATTATTTCTCTTATCTAGTCCTTTGTGATTTTCTTTGTGATTGTGCAAGTGCAATGTGTTGATTTATCTAATTCTATTTGAAAAATGTTTCATGTATGCATACATCAGTATGTACCCATACGTAAACATCCACACAAGTGCATACATGCACCCACATGCATGCACTCACTTTCTCCCATATAGACACTCATTCAGATACGATTGTAATTATATATATATTATTTATTTATCAAGATATTTATTTGCATTTCATCTTGTAAACCTTTCAGTCACACAGCAGCTTTTGAAGACCATATACCAAATTTTTTAATGCTAACCTTCCAAGATCAATAGGATATTAATTTATTTAAACTCACTTTAAGTTGTTACAGATTCTCATGCCAAATTAAATTTCAAAGAAATCTTATTTTTAAAAATAGTATTATTCATTCACCCATTCATTATAACTCATTTGTAGAGGATTCAAGGTATGTCTTTCCAGATTTTTCCTCTTTGTTGTTTCTCTCTTTTTAATTTGCAAAATACCATAAAAACTGAACATTTCTTCTATTCTATTTAGTGAACTGTTATTTATTTGATTTCTTTAATTATATAAGTGTTACTGAAACATATTTGACTTATGAAATTATTGTATAATTTTTACTTGATATACACATAGGGACTTCAAAGATACTTTCTTTCCAATGTCTAATTGCTTTTAAAATTTGGTAATTGAAAAGACAGTTTTGATTACTTTTGTCCATGCAAATGTCATTCACATGACAAAAAGTAATTAAATTTATTCCAATGTATTTTAGAGGTCTTTCACATAACACAAGTAAGTTATTAATTAATTTCCATTTATATTAGTGCTAAATTATTATTTGCTACAGTATAAAACTCATTTCAAAATAAATCATTTGCTGTAGATATCACATCATTCTTATGGCTCTGTGTGACATTTTTCTTTCTACTTAAATTTCCTTTCAAGAAATCATGATGCTCCGACCATATGCGAGAATATTTATGAATTAATTGTTGATGCGTGTGTATGTTTTGTATAGTACCCGTAAAATGTTGTGTATATTCATAAAGTGAATGTAAGATACTCTGTAGATGTTGGCAAAATATCAGCCTATATAAAGGTAATGTGGTATATACTAGCACTAGTCATTTCTTTACTTTCATACTGTGCAGACTGACTATTTGCATCTGGAATAGCTCAGGAGCTTCTAGCCATTGTGAAAGTTAAAAGAGTAGATTTGTTGTGTTTCCAAAGCATTATGCAAAGGTTTCTGTATAGTCTGTGATGTTAATCATTAAAATAATGCTATACTTAAAATATGTAATAATATATACAATATAATACAAGAAGTAAAAGAAAAAAACTTCACACAGATTTCAATAATACTGAATTTAACTTCATTTGTAATTATTTATTGAAATATTTAGTGAGATGAGCATTTGTTATGTTTATTGTTCCAATGTTAATTGTTGTGCTTTAAAGTGACTGAATCTAATAATGTTTACTTTATATAAGGGAAGGAAGGGAAGACAGATTTTATACAGATACTCATATACAGTTCTGACATTCCACAGTTTTATATTACCTTAAGTACAATGTTTATTAGGTTTGTGTAATTGTGATATCTGGAACAGTAGTGGGTTCTTAAGGTTTATTATTGTTATTAATTACTACTACTACTATTAATAATACTATTGCTATTACTACTATTATTATACTTTTATTACCATTACTGTTATTGTTATTATTATTATTATTATTATTGTTAATTACTACTGCTATTTTATTATTATTATTATTGCTATTATATTACTATTATTATTAATACTATTGTTGTTGTTCATATTATCAAAATATTATCATTATTATTATTATTATTATTATTACTAAAACTATTACTATTATATATTGTATTACATATATTATATGCCTTTTATGTGTCATGTCATATTAGCAATAGTTATTTTTATTAAAACATTAATATTTATTTCATTACTATAACTGATGTTTAGTTTTCTTATTTTATTAATTATCATTATTATTTTTTGTATGTAAAGTGTAACAGTTGTATTCATTGACAATACAAGAAGCTGGAGTAGTTAGGAAAATCAGTTGTGTAATGAAAACAAAGATGACCATAGTATCATTTAAAGACGTATAAGAAAATAATAATCATGAGGTAAGTTCTCATTTATAAAACAGTTGTAATGTGAATCTGTTTGGAAGAAATATTTCCGCCCTAAAATATTCTAGAGTTCCATGAATGATTTCTTGTTAACATTACAGCTGTAACTGTTGTATCATTCGTGGCTAACAAAAATTACTTTGTAAGAATATGCCATTGTTGTAATTTCAAAGTGAAGCTAAGAAATTGCTTGATGCAATTCTTAACTTAATATGAAGGGTGTTGAGGTCTTCACTTGAATTCATATATTGTATGTTGTGCAGATGTAATTAGTTTGTAGATATGTATAAATAAAAGAAAGTGTTTATGAGAATTTGTACATTTTATTTGACCCTTAGGCCTCAGCAATTTTTTCTTCTTCTTCTTCTTTTTTGAATAGTGGACCCACTGACATCTATCTCCAGGAAAAAGAAAAAGAAATGAAAATCCCAAATTTTTAAAAGATTTTCCGCTGATATTATGACGTCCACAAAAGAAATTAAAAAAAAAAAAAATCAGTTTGTCTGATTCAATGTGTATGGTATTGTTTCAAAACAAAAATATATATTTGGTGGAAACCCCCCAATCCCTTGCCCGTTGTTGTGGGGGGGCTTAGGAGACGAAGACTGAGACCCAATGCAGGGATCTCCCATGCCTAAGGCCTCAGCCCTCGACTCAACTAATTTTGCATGGTCTTTTCCCCCTCCAGCTTTTTGTTTCCGTCCCTTCTCCAACCCCTTCTACTATCTACTTCCTAAGAATGAAAGGCTGACCTTGTGCCAGTCCTGAACGGCCTGCGGGAACTATGAGCATGGTACTCCCGATTTAATTGTCTAGCCCTTCCTTACCTTGAAGCGAAATGAGGTGGGCCATTTATACCATTTTATATAATCCAGGTTCCCCATGACCAGTAATGAAGATATCTCATTGGGGGCAATGAGGCTTTCCCCTTTATCAAATAGCCCCACCACATGCTCTCCTTTGACCACGACTCTCAACACTGAAACTGCTGCCCACTTCTCAATGCCTACTAGTGTATTACCCACCCAAGCAGAGACTATCTCCAGAAGACATTCCAACCCTCCCAACTTCCTCAAATTCATCAACTCTACCCCCACAACCTTCATCAAGCACCCCACCCTCCCTTATTACTACCTTAGCCTTATTCTCCATCACTCTCCAATACTCCCTCTTCCACACGTCCCCTACCATCCACCACCATCAACCCTACAGATATCTTAAATATTCTTGTTATGTATTAACATACACTAAATGATATATGCTATTAACACTATGAGTTCCTAAGTATAAATTGACTAACAATTATTATGTTTGTGATACCCGTGCAACGATGTGCAATCCGTTTTCTATGACCGGTCAAATGTATGCTCTAGCGGCGATACTCTTTCAACAAACCCTACAATAAACGGGTTTATCCAAGACTTCGTGATCCCTACTTTGGCGAACGAGGATGGGAGATAACAAAGCGCATATCTTATAATTTCAGGTGAGATATGAACTGATATTATACTGTTTGGGAGATAGATAAGAACAACCCCAACATTGGCGACGAGAGTGAAACAATCCACGCAGCGGCGATTTCAAGACCGTATCTACTGGCGATCGTGGTGGCCTAGATACCCCAAGCAGCCGAGCGCGGACTCCCCCGCCACGGATCAAGTGGACTCGCCCAACCGAACGTGCCCTATTTTGACAAAATGGCCTCTGGAACACCGATGTATGACACACTAGAGATTTTTTTCTCCCAAAGGTGAACCACATCAGGTCGGTGTCAGGTGGAAGCAATGGTTAGAAGCTTTTGAGGATTATTTAGCAGTGTTACAAGTAAAAGATTCTGAAAGGAAATTACAGTATCTTAGACATCACATGCGTATTCAAACTAAAGAGATATGTAAACTATTTCCTAATTATAGTAGTTTAAACACATATGAGGCGATGGTCAGTGCACTGAACCAGCATTTTTCGCCCAAGGTAAATAAGTATTATGAGAGATTTAAATTTGGAAGTTGTAAGTCAAGGCATGATGAGAAGATAGACTCTTGGGTGACAAGGTTAAAGCAAGCAGCTACTTTGTGTGAATTGTCTGATTCTGTATTAGAAGAAAGAATCATAGAGACCATTTTACTGCTCACGCCAGACCGCAAATTTAGAGAAAGAATATTAGAAGCAGGTTCCTTAACTCCAAATAAACTGATGAGATTAGCTAGGATGAGAGAAGACTCAAAGTCACAGGCTGATTCCTATGAAACTAAAGAGTTTGTGAGTAAAGTACAGGAACATAAGGGTAGAAGGCTACCAGTTTCTGTACAGAGGAACAGACCAGGTGAGTTACCTCCAAGAAATAAGCCAAGGACATCAGATCAGAGATATCCTAGTGCACAGGGCTGCCGTAGGTGCGGTTTAGCCCAGCTAAATGGGACCGATTTTTCGTGATCCCTTCTACAGCTCCTTACTCAGGCAACACTCTTCTCTTTCAACAGTGCCTCCAAAAACAAGTGGTCAGAGTCGCTTTCTATACCAGACGCAATCGTTCCCGTCTTGTAACAGATCAGAAACTGAATCTATAGCACTATCAAATTAACTGATCATTCTGGCAACCCCATTCCTGCAGAACCTCATCCAACCCTTAATACTTGTACCGGAACTGTCTCTCTCTCCCCAGCAAACTGCCCAGTCGATACCAAAGATTGGCCAGACTGTGGAGAAGACTTGTTAGGATGCCTCAAAGACCAAGATGTGAAATCAGTACATTGCTACACCATTCCTCCTAGAGGTCAACGAAAGAATCCGACCAACATTGCCAATATTACCTTCCGTACACATGACCTTCCCTTACGTATCTACATTGGTGGACAATCCCTCCCTGTTCGACCATACCAACCTCCTCCCCGTCAATGTCAAAACTGTTGGCGCTTTGGACATCCTGCCAAACACTGCCGTTCCACAGACCGATGCCCCTGTGCCCAACCTGGTCATAACTGATCAAACTGCTCAGCACAAACACGAACATGTGCTAACTGCGGCGGCCCCCATAATGTATTTTATAGAGGCTGTCCCACTTACAAGTTTGAATCTGAAGTAGCAACTATCAGATACAAAAATGGTCTCACTTTACGTGAAGCCAGACAGGAAGCACGTCGACAAGGTTCCTCTCATACTCCCTACTCTAGTAATGCCGCTCGCTCAGCCCCTCCCCCTCCATCCCAAGATGTCCCCATTTCCACTAATACATTCTACCTCCCACAGACCAATTCTTTTGCCACTCTAAATCCAGACACCCCAATCTCAACTACACCCCCCCAATCCCTTGCCCGTTGTTGTCGTGGGGGGGCTTAGGAGACGAAGACTGAGACCCAATACAGGGATCTCCCCTGCCTAAGGCTTCAGCCCTCGACTCAACTAATTTTGCATGGTCTTTTTTTTTCTCCAGCTTTTGTTTCCATCTCTTCTCCATCCCCTTCTGCTATCTACTTCCTAAGGTGTGAGAGCCGTGCTGAGAGGATGAAAGGCTGACCTAGTGCCAGTCCTGAACGGCCTGCGGGAACTATGGGCACGGTACTCCTGACTAATCTAGCCCTTACCTTCAGTAGCGAAAGGAGGTGGACCTAATAGGCCTATTTACATAATCCAGGTTCCCCATGACCAGTAATGAGAATGTAATCCCTTTATTAGAGGCTATGAGGCTAGCCCCTTTATCAAATAGCCCCAACCCAGGCTCTCCTTTGACCACGGCTCCGAACACTGAAACTACTGCCCACTCCTCAATGCCTACTAGTGCATTACACACCCAAGCAGAGAATCAATCTCCAGAAGACATTCCTACCCACCCAACTTCCTCAAATTCAACTCCACCTGCAACCTTCATCAAACAACCAATCCTCCCTTATTACTACCTTGCAACCTTATTCTCCATCATTCCGTAATACTCCCTCTTCCACACGTCCCCGACTATCCACCACCACCAACCCTACAGATATCTTAAATACTCTGTTTAGCCCAGCTAAATGGGACCGATTTTTCGTGATCCCTGCTACAGCTCCTTACTCAGGCAACACTTTTCTCTTTCAACAATGCCTCCAAAAACAAGTAGGTAGAGTCCCTTTCTATACCAGACGCGATCGCTCCCGTCTGGTAACAGTCAGATCAGAAACTGAATCTATAGCACTGTCAAATTTAACTGATCATTCTGGCAACCCCATTCCTGCAGAACCTCATGCAACCCTTAATACCTGTACCGGAACTGTCTCTCTCTCCCCAGCAAACTGCCCAGTCGATACCAAAGATTGGTCAGACTGTGGAGAAGACTTATTAGGATGCCTCAAAGACCAAGATGTGAAATCAGTACATTGCTACACCATTCCTCCTAAAGGTCAACGAAAGAATCCAACCAATATTGCCAAAATTACCTTCTGTACACATGACCTTCCCTTACGTATCTACATTGGTGGACAATCCCTCCCTGTTCGACCATACCAACCCCCTCCACGTCAATGTCAAAACTGTTGGCGCTTTGGACATCCTGCCAAACATTGCCGTTCCACAGACCGATGCCCCATATGTGCCCAACCTGGTCATAATCGATCAAACT